TATCAAATTTGTTTTGCAATTTTCGTATAATAATTTTTAGTAACTAACCCATTCAGTCCTTTCACCTATTATCTAGTTTATTTTCATAATTGTCTCCATACTCCTTCACTAACAACTTATCTTTCTAAACATGTCTATATTACGTAACCCTACTCACATCTTACCAATCTTCACCCCACTTAGTTACAACTTTGATTATTAATCACACATTTTAATTTCTTTATTATTTTGATGATGCAATCAACAACCCACACTAACTGTCATTTTGACTTTGACAAACCTAATGTAGACACACACACACACACAAAATTAATTGTATATATTTGCGACTGTACAGCTAAGTGAATGAATTCGCCGAAAAGTGACTCTTCGCTGAACCAATTTGTTCTTATTTTAATCCAATTACTCACAAACGAAACTATGTGCAGATATTGTTTAAAAGAGAGTTCAAACACACTGTAGCAATCCAGAGTTGAAAAGAATGGAAGAAAAATACCTACAAACGGTCTTCAAAAAGAATGGGTATCCACACACAATTTCATCAAAAAGTGTTTAAAGTCGAATCAAAAACCGACAAGGAACCATCATCAAAGACCACAAGAAAATTCATCCTACCATACATGAGAAATATCTCTGAAATAACAGCTAGAATACTAAAACCGTTTGAAATAGATATAATACACAAGCCAGCCCGTCCAATCACTTCCTTCGATATTGAGCAAACCGAAAGATCCAACAGAAAAAGGAGATAGAATTAATACCGTTTACAAAATAAATTGCGTGTATGAACTGTAACAAGCATTACATCGGTCAAAAAGGGCGTCCCCTTCGAATTAGAATCCAAGAACACAAATCAGCCGTGAAAAGACACGATATGTATTCTTTCATATCAGTGCATATAGATAATTATGGACATCAATTTGATTTAGATAATGTCAAAATCTTAGACAGAGGAAACACATCAAAAGTGCAGTCAGGGAATTCCTAGAAGCCTGGTACTCAAACGAAAATGCAATTAACCAGCACGTTACTATAGACGAAATATACCAACTAATAAAAAGTAAATCAGGTGACCAGGAAGTTTAAAATCCAAGTCTATAGAAAATGGTCAATACACATGTAAAGATGGTTACCAGGAGACGCAATTATATCACTCATGAAGAAATTTAAATCATTTCACTTTGCGCTAAATATTGCGCTGAAGGGGGATGTTGTCCAGAAGGACGACAAAAGCTTCGCAACTAAACCAACCAGCTCAGAGAACGCTAATAATTGCAAAACTGTGATTACTACTCATAATCATCATCATCGTATCAAGCTGTGGTCACTTACGCGATAAACAACGTAAGCGAAAACTCTAAGCAGTACGTCAGAAAATCTAAATAATGAAATGGATAGAATAAACGACAGAGCTGAATAACTCCCGTAAAATTCATTAGGAACTATTAACCATAGCACAGATAAGGAAGAAATTAAGGCATCTACAGTAGTTTTACCGTATAAGGAAGGGATATCTGAAAAGCTTATTAATTTGTTTATGAGATATATCACACACAGTGAGTGGAACAGTATTATTATTTCCTGGATGACACAGTTTCGAACGGATACAGAGGGCTAGTTTCGCATATGCCAGTTTACGCCGTCTCTGGCCAAGTAGACGTGATATCCGACTATCGACCAAAGGGCGTGTGTACTGCTCATCAGTCCGCTCCGTCCTCCTTTATAGCTGGTGAGACCTGGTCAGTGAGAGTGGAAGACATGGAAGTTCTGGCTGGCTGTCTTTGATCATAGGTGCCTGCGTTCTATCTCCCGTGTGAAGTGGTATAATAAGGTGAGCAATATTGAGGTTAGGCTTTGGTCTAGTGCTAGGTAAGGAGGGGAAATCAATAGACGAGGCTGTGAAGTTACATAGACTTAGATGGTTAGGACATGTGGTACGCATGTCTAGCTATCATTCGCCTTCCTCGTTGGGCAATGTTAGCTGACAGAGGATCAGGTTGGAAAGGAGCTAATGTAGTGGTCAAACCAAAACGTGACTTCATCAGTCAATGAAATCCACAACAGTTAAAGTCACGTAGGAAGTGTAATCTGGTTAGGATCCTCGGGACGGTAAACACCAATGGCTGGAGACAATTGGTGATATGGCTCAAAATCATGCACAATGGTGTAAGTGCATCCACTCCTTGTGACTTATGATACCCAAATAAAACTATATGGTTCTTCGATACTACTATTCTTTCTGCCTCATATCTCTGTTTACTGTCTCTATTTTGCATTTCTTTTTACTTTCTTCTCTTGCTTTGTGTGCTACATGGAGTGTGGCGACTCAAACTGCTGCACATCGGTGCAAAGTTCTATGTTGAAACCAGTCAGTCAGACTTTAACTCATTGATTAGATGGAAAGATAGCCACTACATAGAAGGAAATCTCCCTTGAACTGGACCCCTCTTGGCCAATGGTGTTCACTGATGAACAGTTCCAAGGTTACGAAGAAATGTCAGTCGTGACGAAATCTAGCAGCTGGAATTAATCCGAATCCCTACAAACCAGAACCAATGATCTAAAAATCAGTCAATCTCCAGGACATTGACGACTACTGGATGGATGTCTTAAATCTGTGCTGAGAAGTCGTGACCAGTGCCGTCCACCATGTCAAGGTGATGTCAATTGATGGTAGCTCTATATCACGAATCGACAGAATTTAGAACTCAGGGGTCATTGAATTTCTGTCTCGGATTCGACCACTGGTGAGGTTGTGGGTGCACACAATGCTGAAGAGTCCCCCAAAACTAGGACGAAACAGCCAGCTATCGACTACTCCCTAGTTGGTTCTCGACGAAGCAATAATCAATTTTTTTTAAATATGCATACACATACATTATTACACACTTACAGCAATAAACGCTGGATCCATATCATTTTTCACCATGTATGCCTGTAATTCTTCTATTGTAATTGTCTCTAAAATTAGAAAAACAAAAATATAAATATCGATCAATCAATCAATCGATAGATCGATTAATTGGTCAACTGACCAATCAAAATTCACGAAAATATTCAGAGGAAGATATATATTTATATCGATATGCATAAAATCGATCGATGAAATCGATTTTTTTGTTGTTGTTGTTGTTTTTTCTGTAATCAACACACGCAGATTAATTAACACAAATTAGCCGAAGAAACGTTTTTAAAAATATTTTTTTCTCAGAAGAAACAGAGAAAAACAATAACAAATTTGTTTGTGATAACAATCAGATTTTAGTGTGAACATATATTGAACGAATTTGCAATGATATGCATTAGTATGGAATACTGTTAGAAAATGAACGACTATCGATGTTCAAAAGTAGGCTAACAGGCTATACAATATAGATAGATATCTTGGGTTGTTCTCTTGGGTTCTGAATGGAATATTGGGGCTTCATAGCAACAACAGTGCGCCGGTGGTATAGTGGTTAGGACGCTCGCCGACCATGCATATGGTCCGGGGTTCGATCCCCGGCCGACGCACTCCTTTACCTCGCTGAGCCAGAAATAATGCTGGTAAAGAGGAAAGGTTGGGTATGAGGCTAGAAACCCCATCCTGTAAAATAAACATTGCTACAGAAACTTCAAGCCACTAGCTTGAAGCCTTATGTTCCACTGGGGAACGTGAAGGAGAAAAAAATAGCAACACATCACTATTTCATCGTCTTCTCTGCAGTCTCCTTCAGCTAGCTCAGTGATTAAACATAATCAATCATCTCCTGCCCACGCGATCTTCTACATATCACTCTTGGACATAAGCGCAACTCATCGTTCCCCATTCCGGTTAGACTAGAGGGCCTGGCACGTGATGTCATTCAACGGTATCCTCCGACAGTGTCCAATCCATCTCCATTTTTCCATCTACATATTTTAATGGTTCGTTGCCTACCAGACTTCCATGTTGTTAAGCCTTTCTACCTATCTGATCTTTAGTATGATAGTGTGGGGAGTGCGTTCTCATCACTTGAGTGTCTACAGCTTAACTATGCCAATGAAAGCGTTGCAATTAAACCAACGATTTCAGAAAGAGCAGTTTAAAAAAACATTCTGATCCTGAGCTCTGTACAAAAACATATGGTCATCCAAATAATCAATCTGTGAAAATCGATCGCAATCTTATATTGACCATCGAACATTCCTGTATGTATGTCAGTCAGATGAATGACAAGTATCTAACTGATATTAATCCGTGATCAAAATTGAAAAACAAACCTAATCTGTACAAATCAACTCTAGCTCGAGAACATCTCCCACTATGGCTAAGTAAAGGTGTAGTGAAAACCATCAACAGTTCGATATTGGACCATCTGATCCAAACTGGCCACAAAGCCAGCCAGCCCATTGAAGAATCCTTCTCTATCATCTACCGCGTGCCTAATAAATTGCCAAAATCATCATCGAAGCACTGTATGCTCCAAACAGCAGCAGAGGCTATTGCAATTCACCTCAAACAACCAGTGTTCTGTGTTCAAAAGAAGCAAGTCCAACCAGCTAGCCACTACTACTGCACTGGCCAGTCTTCAGTAGAGACTATAAATTCATGAATTTGTATCATTATCTTTCCTAATTTTTCTGACATTCAGCTTATTGTTATGTTGATGCTATTGAACTGTAATCTATTGATATTATTGATTCGATGTTATTTAAACAACATTAATGTTGTTCATAACACTAATTCATTCATTCACTATAATGTGTATATATAACTGTAGAACCTGATGATGAAGTTATCGAAAAGAATATTCTTCGTTCAGTATCCATTCTTTTGAAAAGTAATCTGATACTCGCTAGTGACTTGCTACAGGACGAAATTGCCTGGATTTCTAGTGAGAAGTTGTCACCAGTGAGGTTGGTGGTCGAGCTAACATCACGAATTGGTAGAGGTTAGAATTCATGGACTGACCATTGAATCGGGCGGGTCCCACAGTGACTCAATGGTGTACGAGCCAGCTTGCCTTGTAACCGGAAGGTCCTGAGTTCGAACCCCTTTGGGAGGGGTGCGTACGTACTGCCCATGAGTCCCAAACTAGGAGGAAGCAAACATCTGTCCAGTATTGCATGGTGGTTTTCAATGGTTCTCTAACTGTGATATCAATCCATGGTCTAAATCGAAAAACAAATCAAATCCCTCCCAAAAAAATCAATTCTTGAAAATATCTATCCCCTAGAGTTTTGTATAACACTGTTTGCCTAGATGAAAATGTTAAACTATAACATATATATATATATATATATATATAGAGAGAGAGAGAGAGAGAGGGAGAGAGAGAGAGGGAGAGACTGGAGACTTTAAAACGACCAATCATATCACACATATGTTTCACATGTGTTGCATTCACAATCTTTCCCTAATTTTGTTGTTGTAAAGGGAAGGAAAACTGTCCACTGTAAGTTAAACTGTTTATATATTTTCAAAATACATTTTATACATACAAATAAATTATTCATAAAGTTCTTTTCCCATGATTGTTTTTGCGAGGTCATTTTTGAAGGTCGTTCGTGGCGGCCACTTTAACTTTTCTGTGATGTAAAAGTGAAGTTAAGTTAAACTACCACAACCACCAAAGTCAAGGTCAGTGAAAAATTGACATTGAAAAAAGAGCCAATCACATCTAGATCACACTGCGAAAGGTTATTTCAAATCAAATCCTACCTGCTTTGATAAATTTGGTGAGAGTAGGCACTTTTTTTCATGCGAATAGACACTGTCAGGTGGAGGTTTAGTGTTTTTAGGATTCAGCTTAGGTTTGGAGTTTATGGTTAAGGGTAGGGCAAAGTTCAACAATAGCGTCCCAAGAGATGCGAACGCACGGTTGACCTTCAGCCGACCAATCATAAAAATAAGTGACTTTTGCACAAAAAAATGACGTATATTTACAAGAAAATGCATGAAAACACATTAAACAGGGTATCTTTCTCTGCACATGACTTAAAAATACGTCCCAGTTATAATGAGGAGTATCAGTTGCTATGTTGGACTAGTTTCTGTACGCATGTATTCACCAAGGTGACTAAAGATGTGCTGTTTTTGTGAATCGTTCATCTCTCTAATCCTGTTATGCAGTCTTCCGCAAAGCCCTCGGTTGAATTAATATGGTTTGCAGTAAGAGGATAGACGGCTACTTACCAGGAAAATGTGGATAATAAAACAAATTAAAATTGATGACATCAACTATAAATCTATCCCTAATCGTAAACCTAACTTTAATCCTAACCCGAACGAGCTATTAACACATTGTCGAAACAGTACTTAAAGACGTGATCTGAGTGAAATTTGCTGCTTAGTTGGTGTATACCGTTGATATTTCAGCTATGATAATGACGGGTGCCATTAACCAACGAATAAAATGCGTTCAGGGTCATTGGAGCGTTCGCAACCCCTTGGGACGCTATTGTTCAATTTCGCCAAATGAATTATACAGTGTATAAACTTATAATATGATGTAAGTGGAGGCCTCATTTTTGTGATAGGATTGGTTATAGATACAAAACAATCTAATACGTTATACTGATATGCCTTTATTCCTTCAACAGAATTTCTGTGAGTACTAGTTTTAGGATCCAATAATTCTGATGACTGATTGACTTTATGATGAATGTATATCCTGATGATGGTGATGCTGATGATGACAGCCACAAGGTCCAACATTTCAAATGGATGCTAGTCATAATCTTCATTGAAAGTTTCACCTTAGCCTTAACTCGACCCTAAACCTAATCATACCCTACTCTAACCCTAACCTTACTTACACTAACCTCAATCGTAACCCCAACTCTAAAGCACAGTGAAACTTACAATGAAGACTATGAAAAACATCCTTTTTTAATGTCGAGTCATCTGACTGGTTGGTTCAAGGCAATCTGGCTGTGGTATCTATTCTTTATTGTTGCCAATTTGGTAACGCTGATTGTATGAGAGCCAGTTGGACACAGGCAGATTACATGAAGCTTTCCTGATGCTGCGATAGGCCATCCATATATATATATATATATATATGAGCATAAAATCAGGAAAATGCAATTTTATATATGTTCAACCCACAAACTCAATTAGAAACAAGTTTTGTCGGTTAAAGGATCCTGACAGTGGAGCCAATTAAACAAAACAATGAGGCTTATCTAATATCCTGCCTGCGATGATTGTCAGGTCAAATACATAGGTCAAACTAGTAGAACAGGGGCAGTCAGACTAGCTGAACATCAAAACGTAGCAAAATCTAGATTGGTTGACCCGAATAAAATAAGAAATCTAGAGAATAGTTTAGCTATAGCACTACATGCAGTTACACACAACGTTACAATAGGATGGGATAGGATGACAGTTTTAAAATCTAATGTAATAGCAGGGTGGAGGGAGAGATTGATAACGGAAGCTTTATTTGTCGAATCAAGTGAGAGGGAATACGTGCAATAGGAATGATTCAACACCTGTCCACCCAGATATCTGGAAAATTCTACTGTCCCTACGACAATGAATAGAAGAGAATAAAGAAAACTATAAAACTCAAGTGTCAAAGTCGTGTGATTATAATTGATTGGTATGAATATGAACAATAATTAAACTTTGTTCGAAACTTTGTCATCCAGTAAATAATAATACTGTTTCATACCGTGTGTGTGATACATCTAATAAACAAACTAATATGGAATTACTTACTACCACAGTGCTCAAGTTATACACATATATTAATTCAACTTTAAAATCGACAGTGCCTAGACAGATATCTGACTATGCCATAACACTTACTGTTTGCTGTACAGACTACTAAGAACTTTTGAAGCCATCCAAATAAACACCTCAAAAAACTTCTACAAATTCATAATTTGATTTCAAATATTTAAATAATAATACTCTTTTCAAGAATTAGTTTGTAAGGATTACTTCCATTATGGGTAAATTTTTATGTTGATAGTCTCACAGTATTATACAGTAAATATTACTGTATAACACTGTGAGACTCTATCAAAATAAAAATTTACCCATAATGGAATTACACTCTACCACAGTGCCCAAGTTTTATTCTTATATCAATGTAAGGATTACTGGTTGTTTCAGGTTACGCCACTGATTGATATCAGTTAGAGAACCATTGAAAAGCAGCATGGAGTACTGGACAGCTGTTTTGTCCCACCAGCAGCGTTCAAAACCAGGACCTTCCGGTTACAAGGCAAACTCGTATACCATTAAGCCACTGGGACCTGATTCAGTGAATCCTGAATTCTAGATGAATCTAAATAATACATTAATTATGTCAATAGATGAACAATAACAAAGGTACAATAAGCTACAACTGTTGTTAGGTTATGTCATAAAACCATTACTAAAAATAAAGGCGACAAGACAGTTTTGGCAAACACAAAAAGAATAGTGCCCACGCACCAATGACCTTGAACGCATACCATTTGTCACGTTACAGAACCTACCGTTTGTTTACGAGAACAATTCAGCATAATGAGACGAAGTAAATGTATCACATAGCCAAAGTCGACGTCTTTGAAAATTTGACCTTCAGGAACCAGTCAGACAGAAGGAATGCTATGAAAGGTCATACCAAATCAAGTGATGCCTAACATTTTTGTACTTGGATTGGTCAGATACAGTATTGTACTGATTCCTTAAGTACTTTTTCTGTAAATCTGTCAAACAAATTGTTTGTCAGTGAAAGCTCATAAAATTGTTTTCTCGACTTCTAGTGTTTCTCAGTTCCATGTTGTTTCTAATCTACTAATCATACCCTCAAATGGCAACATGAACTCACACAAATGTTTATTTGACCTTCTAAGCTACAGCTGTGGAGTGCTCCAAGAAGGAAATGAAGGGGAAGTGTCGTAGAGGATTGAGTGTTGTTTCAAAATAGAAAGACATTACGTCATACGGTATACCGTCTATGAATATTCTGCTCAAAGATACTATACGGGAAGTAAATACTGTGCAAGAAATTACGTTGAGAATTCCCGGATAAAAAAGCTCTTATTATAGTATAGATTACAATTCACTCAAAGTTGTAGTTATTAATTACTGTTTAGAGTTAAAAGCATTTCCCTGAAGAAATCTTTTTTGCCTAAATCCTGAACAGCAGTGATTATTAGCATATACATCACTCGACTTTACTTTTCCTCCAGGAAATTTGTCGACGAAGTTAAAGTATCACAGCTAAAACCTGGGAGTATTGGACAGCCAACTGTTTCATCCACCCGGTCTAGGACTCCTCATCAGTACGTACCCACCGGAGTTCAAACCCAAGACCCTCTGGTTACAAGATGAGCTCGTAGACCACTAATGGCCCATGAATTCTAACTGCTCCCAGGTTTTCCAATGGTTCTCTAACTGATGTCAGCTCATGATGAAATCCTCCAACCAATCAAACAAAATCCCTACAAAACCAATGCTTGAAAATATCATAGCCAAAGTCAAGGTCTTTCAAAAGTTGTCCTTCAAGAACCAATCAGACGCAGGGAACACTACAAAGGGTTATTCTAAATCAAACCATACCTGCTTTTTTTGAGACTTGGAGAGGATAGATACAGCATTCTACTAATTATTTACTAGGTCCTTTTTCTGCAAATCTATACTCCTAGGTAGGGTTATGGCTTTTAAGATTAAAGTTTTGGGTCTAGGGTTAAGGTTAGTATTAGGGTTACAGTTGAAGAATAGTGTCAGAAATACCAATGGACCTCAAAGTACCATGACCTACAGTCACCTGGATGAATAGGTATACCGCGTATGATTCGATTTGTCTATAGATCATCTGTGGAGTGACTGGGAGACATTCTTACAACACCTGAGCTACAACTATACAGTGGCACATCAAGTTTGCAATATTTTTCAATGTATTTTTCAACGATTATGCAACTTTCTTTGCATCTGAATTCTGATTGGTTGTTCAAGGTCATTGCGACTTGGATAAGAATGATGAGACATATTAAAGACGATATTTTGCCCTGACGTAACTGAAAAAAACTACCCAATCGCAATGAAGAGTATCAGTTATCAAGTTTCGTAACTATCAAGACGGTTGCATCTATGTGAACAACGAAACACTCTCCTCCCATTTATTGATTTATATATTTACATGAAAAATACAGATAACAATAATAACAAAACACCCTAGGCCTAATAGCTATCTTAACCCTCACATGTTATCAACCCATTGCCCAAAATGTACTTGAAGACGAGATCAGGTTAAAATTCGCACACCAGTTCGCGCACAGTGTTCATAATGTTCACCAGGTCGGAACACCGTAGAGAACATAGCAGGAGAGTTCAAAAGCCAAGGAGAAACCATATTTCTGTTGAGTACTGCTTCTCAAACCAAGTCATAAACTCCTGGAACTGACTCTCAGAAGGAGTGATGTCTTTCAAGAAGGGTTTGGACAAGCACAGAAATTTACTAGAAAACGATTAACATAGGCTCCAAGCCTTCTATCCTCAATCAACATATCTGAATCTGAATCTAATAACGTCATGTTCAGTAAGGTATGCATTCAAGATGTGTGCATTCGTGCGTTGACACTCCGTGGTGTCACTATTCTTTTCGTTGACCATAGTTTTTATCAAAATTATAGGAGTTTTAACATAAAGGAGGAAATAAAACGGGGTTTTTAAAAAATAAAAAGTCTAACCTGAATGATCTTGATCAATTGCAAAAAATGCTTCAACAAATGCATCCATTATTAACATGAACAATTTGATAAATTTGATAGACAATAACGATTAGAGATTAATCCACAAAATTATTTCCAGTCGAGTATTACAGCAACAAAAAAATAAAGGAGGAATGTTTTTGGCGCTCTAGACAGTAGAGTTTTGCATGCAAATGTGACGACTGGTAAGCAAACAACGCTTTTCGCCCACGTGTTTTTCTTTTGAAGGACATTAAAATCATGTTAATTCAAGGTGAAACTGCTGCAAATTAACCAATGAGAATAGCGCTTTGACTATGAACGTATTGTTACCGGATTGGTTGATATTTATTTTAATGGCCATGAAATTATCCAATCACTGGCTGAATTAATAAAATACAAGGCATGATTCACCCACGTTGTTTTTGTAATGATTTTTCTATAGTTCATATGAACTGTGATCAAGATTTGACCGGATAGTCGCAAAATAATTGAGCGCTGAGTGAGAAATAGACATTTATAAAATTATATTTGTAAAATCTCAGCGAAATTGAAATGATTAATTCCAACGTTTCGTTCGGCAATCTGGTCCGAACTTCTTCAGGGAAATTAATCGAATTAAAATAAACAGGTTTATATATAAAAGGAACAACTCATGTTTTTCAATTTTTTGTCCAATCATGAGTCATGCAACAGGCATCAACGTGTATAATAAATAAATAAATAAAATAGTATGTTTATATATGAAAGTACATCTCTTGTTTTAAATTGTTTGTCCTGTCATGTGAATCCAGAAACAGGCATCAACATGTATAATAAACAAAACAAAACAAAATCTTTAATACGAACTGTGATCAAAATTTGACCTCAGGCTATCAAAATTAGTCTACTTTTGTTAAAATATATGTGTATATGTGTTATGCAGTATCAATGGTGTGTGTGTGTGCATGTGTGTATGTGTGTGGGTGAATAGTCATAAAACATTTGTTATTCTCATATGAGCTATGATCAAGATTTCACCGGATAGTTACAAAATAATTGAGATGTTTTTTAACAAATATAATATAATTTTATAGATTTGTTATTCTCTCCATACAAGGACGTAGACAATCGGGAATTTGATCAAGTGTGACTAGTTGTTGAAACATATCCAATTTATTTATTATTAGTCAGGATTTGCCATGCATCAGCTAAGATCACACCTTCACGTCTGTTCAAACTGTTGGGATTCACCCATATATGTAGGGCTTCTGCAGTCAGTCTTTCTTTATATGAACCAAAACCTTTCTGTAGAACCTTAGTCTTATCAAAGTCGATTTTGTGTCCCGTTTCTATCGAGTGCAGTGCAATCGCTGAGTTGTTTTCTAGCTTCTTCAAGTCTGCAGAGGTCTTTGGAACCACCTTTAGACATTGTTTATGCTCTTTCACCCTTACATTTACCTGTCTGGAAGTTTCTCCTACATATACGGCGTTACATAACACATATACACATATATTTTAACAAAAGTAGACTAATTTTGACAGCCTGAGGTCAAATTTTGATCACAGTTCGTATTAAAGATTTTGTTTTGTTTTGTTTATTATACATGTTGATGCCTGTTTCTGGATTCACATGACAGGACAAACAATTTAAAACAAGAGATGTACTTTCATATATAAACATACTATTTTATTAATTTATTTATCATACATGTTGATGCCTGTTGCATGACTCATGAATGGACAAAATTGAAAAACATGAGTTGTTCCTTTTATATATAAACCTGTTTATTTTAATTCGATTAATTTCCCTGAAGAAGTTCGGACCAGATTGCCGAACGAAACGTTGGAATTAATCATTTCAATTTCGCTGAGATTTTACAAATATAATTTTATAAATGTAGATTTTTCTATAGTTTGGTTTGTAAGGATTAGTTATGTTTTACGAGTTGATCACGGACTGATATGATTTTTGTTGTTGTGTCTACTGTACGAAGGAAAAAACATGTTTCGTCTTGTTCAGTAGTGTGATGATGATACGATACTTCAAAAACATATCATAGTGATGAACCCTTGGATTTGTTTCAATTATCAATAAAATTTTCGGCTATAATTGTTATTTTATTTTGAAGATTCTTTATTGAGTATGCTCATTAGTAGTTAAATATGTTCGAAGCAAGAGTAAACAATAGACACCAAAGTCAAATGACCTTGATTTGACCAATCAGATAGCTCAGCATTACAAATGGTTGCTTGTCATAATCCTCTTTGAAAATGTCTCCTAGATTCGGCTTTTGACTTCTTTGTGGAAAATGTGTTGATAGGGTGGAATGAAACATGCATATGTGGAGGGATAATGACCCTGCAAAAGTATTGCCGGGCTATTGATGGTTATACATTCAGATGCAATCACTTTATATGAGGAAGTCTGTATAAGTTGGTAGGTCGCACATAACTGATGATTTTTTTAGACACTTTCTCCTCGAAATCATAGCTCTCCCTTAGTAGTATATTGCGTATATGCAACCAGTATCTGCTACAGCTGGAGAAATAGAGAATACATTGGTTCGATATGTCTGTAACCACTTCTATGAGAATCTCGGACCAGTTTATGCAGCATATTAGAGATATATACCCTATATGATTCATTTTCATTACACACATGTCGCAGATACATTTCCTTGTAAATTAAGTGCCACTTTCCACCTAGAAGAGTCTGATTGGCTGTTTCAAGGTCGTCTGAATTTGGTGTCTCCATTTCCCTGCACATAGGTTCTAGCATGGTTCAGTGCTTACCGGAAGTCCTCCGTGCCAATCCTTCCTGGTCATCTGATCTTAAGAACGGAGTGAAGGCTTACTTTGGTAAAAGTCTGAAGCCTAGTAAAATGCCTTAGATAACACGCCAAGTCTCTGAGTCATACAGAACCACTGACTGTTCTTACATTAAAGCTTTAAATCCGATTTCTTTTCTTTATACGGAGTGCAGTAGATTCCCACAACGATTTCTGTATTGCCTTTTCGATCCTCTCTGGCTTTTTCATCTTCATCCATGCCTCCTGCCTATAGTTGGGACAATAATTTCTTTATAAGTGAAAGACACAAATACCTTTAGATTTCTCCCTTTGATGATAATTAGTGGTTGATCTTATCTTCTTTTTCTGTTGTGTGGATCTTTCGGTTTGCACAATATCGAATTAAGTGATAAAATTAATACCATTTACAAAATAAATTGTGTGTATGAATTGTAACAGACATTACATCGGCCAAAGTGGGCGTCTCATATGAATCAGAATCCAGGGAGACAAATTAGCCGTGAAAAGACATGGTATATATATTCCTGTTTCATATCAATGCATATAGATAATTATGGACATCAGTTTGATGACTGGGATAATGTCGAAATCTTAGACACAGAAAACACCGAAAATACTGCCAGGAAATTCCTAGAAGCCTGGTACTCAATTGAATCAACCAGCGATTAAGAAACATGTTAATATAGACCAAATCTACCAACTAATCAAAAGTAAATCCCATGTGACGAGAAAGTTTAAACTCGAAGTTAATAAAAAAAATGATCAATACAGATGTAAAGATGGTTACCGGGAGACGCAATTCTATCTATCACTCATGGAAAATTTAAATCAGTTCACTTTATGCTAAAACTTGTGCTAAAAGGACGACGAAAGCTCCTCAACTAAACGAACCAGCTCAGAGAACACAACTAATTGCAAATAAGAATAAAGATAATTAATATGATATACTAGTGGGGGGTAGAGTTGAAGTGGATGAATTACAAAACCTTTAAAGAATAAGTGAACTGGTATAAAGATTTTAAAATTTTAGGTCAACTGTTGTCTAAAAAATTCACAGTGTGATGATGATAACAGTTAAGACGGCAAGGATGAGGTGAAGTTGAATGCATTCTAGTGATAAAATAAAAACAAAATAAAAGAACATTACTATGACCAAGGTAAAGAAAGAAGTTTAAAAAACGTTTTTGAACACATAATTTAGGTTTCTGTTCATGTATAGCTAGAGCTCTGGTTGGTAATGCATAAGTGGAGTAAACGCAAGCTTTTGGAGTGATTGGATTTGGTCTTTTAAATGACTTTAAAGTATAAATCATGTGGCGCTGAATGACCTGACTCCAAAACGTGTTCACAAATTGAAGGCTTCGTCGTCTTATACTCACCTTTCATTAACCAAACTGGGTAGTGTTCAGCTACGCATTTACGGAAAGCACGCTAACAACGTCCAATTTATTCAACTCCACAGGAGCATGTGAATGAGTATGTGCACACAGAGGTTGATATAGGAGGTAGTTTATCCTTAACGCACTGTCGAATCATATTTCTGCCGGCAAATACTAAATATAAGTCAGCTGCATAAAAACAGAGTTTAATACATTTAGTTGAACGACTTTTAATAACTACAGAAACAGTGTCACCTTTGAATGGAAAACTTTTAAACACTCTTTTAATGATATTAGATGGTTGGAGGCAATCGGCCACAGGAAGTCTTGCTTGACCTAGGTTTCGTGCTAGTTGGCACTCGTCAGCAAGGCGTATCTGCAACCTTGAAGGAACTCATGTCCCTTCTGAGATTCGAACCCGCGTCACCCAGTGCTGCAGTCAGAAACGTTACCACTATGCTATTTGGGCTAACCACTACCCATTACAGTCTTACAGGAGTTCAATCGCTAGCCAGCCCGAATAACTCAGTGGTAGCGTCTCTGACTGCAGCACTGGGTGATTCGGGTTCGAATCTCAGAAGGGACATCAGTTCCTTCAAGGTTGCAGATACGCCTTGCTGATGAGTGCCAACTAGCACGAAACCTAGGTCCCAGCAAGGCTTCCTGTGGCCGATTGCCTCCAACCATCTTATATCATCAAATCAATGTACACCGTGATGGTGAGCTACCTAGAATGGTGGCCACATTACAAAACCTGACTGATAGAATTCAGTCTGCACCAAAGTAAGGACTAGACACTTCACACCAGTTACTAGTGTTCAGTCATAAACACTGTCTTATACGGCACTGTTTGTTTTGGCTGTCAACAGTTTCTTTCTTGATATTTCTGTCAATAAATCTTCTATGATATCCATTATTTAGGAGAGTTTTGCGAAGGTTTTCCAGTTCCTAGTCGACCAAATCTATAGAGCAAATTTTCCGAATTCTGGAGCATAGAGAAGGGATAAAATTTCTCTTCCTACCTAGATATTTCATCATTCAAAGGACATAAGAAGATTATGAGTGAACCAGTATTTGGACACATATACCTCAGTATGTTGAACCCCAGTGGGTGCGTACTGATGAAGAGTCCCAAACTAGGACGAAACAGCTGTCCAGTACTCCCTGGTGGTTTTCCAATGGTTCTCTAACCAATGTCAGCTCATGATGAAATCCTGTAACCAATCAACCAAATCCCTACAAACCAATACTTGAATACCTCAA